GAAAAGAGGGAGAGAGATAAGGTGGAGAAAAAGAAACAGAATTCGAAACGCAGGGAAAAGACCCTCGGGGATTCACTCGAGGTTGAGGAGAATTTACCAGTCGGTCGGGAAATTATTCATGCGTTAATAAACTACGGTCGGAGATCGTATGTCGGGGGAAATGAAACGGGAACGATGCTCGTTGCGCGAGGATCGAGCTATGTGTATAAGACAGACATTTTTTCTGTCATTCTCGAGGGGGATAAGACATGAAATATGAGTAAAGTTAATATCCCTATTTTTAATTTCGTCCCGATTTCTGCCCAGTACGTATATTCTTCATTTAATGTAAGAAGATAAATAATAAATTAATTATATAAAAAATTATTTAAACTTGTTCGGTATTTCCGTACAAAATGCTACAGCCTGTTGTTCTATAGATTGCAGCATTTTAATAGAAATAAATTTAGTCGGCGTGTCTGTCGTAAAGAAACGTGCTTTGAGCAGTCGCGATCGTCAGTTACACGTGGACGCTGCGTTTTTACTAAAAAAAACTTACCGAAACTTTAATATTGTTCGCCGAAGTTTGGTTTGGGCACTGCCATTTTCGTTGAGGAGAAATAGGGATATGCTTGTGAACAGAAATGCGAGCATTTTCATTTTCGCAGAGCAGAAATAGGGACAACTTTTTATACTTCATATTAAATTAAATATTATTAAGTGAAAATATTTTGAAAAATACTTCTATTTAAATGTCATTAGAAGGGGAGGTTCAAATTTTATATCTAATAAGTTTTTTTTATCGATTGTTGCATAAATGAGTAATAATAATCCATTTTTGAGATAGCAGAACTCTTACATGATCAAAAATATGGACATTGACCTTATTTGCAGTTTTACGGATTTATACAGAAACGCAACAACGGTTAAGAAAAATTATTTTCTCTCATTAAACAGCATATTAAATGCTTTGTAACCCTTTGCATGACGGCACGAAATTAAAAAACAGTATATATACATTTTTTCTCAATGGATTTAATATACCATTTAGTAAGAGAAAATAAGTTTCCTTAACCGTTGTGTGTTTCTGAATAAATAATGAAAATAGAAATTATTTGCTATATTTTAGCGCATTTTGAAGTCGGTCCACGTTCTGTGAAAAAAATTTGTTATGCTCTATAGACACCCGTTCATAAGTACCTATTAGGAGACTTGTCAAATATGAGATAAATGGAATTGTTGCTGGGTTGAAATAAATATTGTTTTGGGGGAT